GTAATGGAAGGAAAATATAAATAAAAAATTAGAAATCAAAATTATTTATATTAGGTACTTTATATTACTTTTTAACAATAATATTTACTTTTACTGGCATTTACTTTAAAAAATAAATGAAATATTTCTTTGCAAAAAACTACATGTAAGAAAATTAGCATAAACAAAATACAAACATCGTTAACTTTTTTTTTAAATTGGCACGTGTAAAACTTTCAATTTAATTTTCTCACCCCATATAGTTTGAGTTCGATAACCACACATTTACTTAACCACATTACTTAAATATGATTATTAAGTTCAACTAATTCATATTATTAAAACATCTAAAATACAAATATGTATTTTTAAAACTAATTCTAAGTTCATCTCATCTCTCTTAAAAATTGCTACTTTTAAAAATTTCCCATTAAAAAATAGACCATATACCATATATAATAAAATAATTGAAAGATCGGGCTACGGAAAATCACACAAATTTTCGGAAAAATTTTGACACCTGCACACGCACACAATCGTCAATTAAAAAAAACTACTATTTTAGTATTTTAAATATTTTAATAAACGCAAAAATAGCACAGTATTTATAAGGCGAAGTTATAAAAATTTGTAAGAACTAATAATGCACTGACGCACACAAAAATCAAACGAATACTAAATTTCATTTATCAAAAGCATTCGATAGTCGTGGCTCAACGATAACCACTTAGTCGCACGGCGAGGTTGTCACATATGCTTTAGTATACAAATGTATGAATGATTTTATTCGAATAAAACCATTCGATAGTTGAAATCATTCATTCAATAACCATTCGATAGTCTAATTCATTCGATAGTTCCCATCGCTAATATTAATGAGAGGTAAAGACCGAAACGAATTTTTTAAAAATCCCTTGCGTGTAAGGGCGGCTTTTACATGCGAGGCACAAAAAGTCTTTAAAAATTTTTTTCAAACGTCACAAATAATTTCTTAAACAATTTCAAACGTTACAAATTATATCAAAATATTTGGTATAAGTAGTAGATTTTTTCGAAAACTCAATATTAATTTTTCCCATTTGCAAACTTTTTAGCACACAATGTGACTGTATAGATTGCCATATACAACAGTACAAAAATCATCTCATAATAAATACCTATTTAAACTCAATTATACTGTATATAATAGCATTCTCAAAAATTAATGATATTATGGCGAAGGTTAAGAAAACAATACATTTTTAACAACCAGGATTAATACTTATATTCCGGATTAATACTTATAAGAGGATAAATAATTATTTGTAATATCATTGTTGATATATTTCCATTTTATTAAGAAATAAATTAAAATAATAAATAGTTCCATTTTAAAATAAAGTTTATCTAATAAAATAAGTTAACTAAAAGTAAATCTTTTAATGATTAGAGAATAATTCTTTTTCACTCATAACATTTTTTTCATCACAGCCGATAATAGATTTTAAAATTGTCGAAACAATATCTATTAGTGGTATCTTAAAAATGGATATTAACCACTGCTGGAAGCTGGAAGCAGAAAATTAAAACTAATTCTTCCGTTGATGACCTAAGCCGCCATCTAGAGAAAATATCTAGAAATAATAACAGAACACCAATGACCTAGAAACTCGTTCCTCCTCTACTAATATATAGATGGCCAGAAAATAAAAATACATATTTTTTTCTCAAAAACAGTTAATGTTAGATATAGAGTATTTAATATCAAAATTCATAACATTTTACAGAGAATTCAACTATGTAATAAAAAAATGGAGGCACCTATTTAAATTAAGAAAGTTGTTGTCAACTTGCGTTATTTCCGGAAGTGCTGCCATATTGAAAATATTTTAATCGATAGATCTCATTGTGAAACAATGATGTACAAAAAAATTCCGATCTAGATATTGTAGATTGTTTGTTGTTTTCTAAACTTCTAATGCACGCTCAGCCTCGGACACCCCGTATGACACCCCGTATGACATAAATAGGATCGATTGACGTATTCAATGGTTTTTAGTCACTTCCTGTTTCACCGGAAATGACTGCAACTTTTGATTTTTAAATGACACCCTCGGTATATCTCTACTTTATTCGATAGAAGAAACATTCTGAATAAAATGACATACATATTTTATGTATAGTTCGATGTATAACAACTTCTGACACTTTCGCTTTAAAAAATCATATTGAATCTAGAGTGCCATGGCTGTGCTAAAAACACCAATTTCTAATCAAGGAGCCTTTGAAAAATATTTGTGATTGTCTAATGTTTTGCATGTCTTGTCCTGGCTGGTTAAAAGATGTCCAAATCATATTTTTAATCATATCTCAATTTTTTCAAGTGGAACAAGGGTGGCTCATTAACATATTTGGAAAAAGCATTTTTTTACAAATACTTTGGTACCAAACACTTGGTATTTCGAGTCAAATTGTTCGTTATGAACCGCATGTTACAATTTCAAATAAACCATATGCGAAAATGTCAAAAGTTGACATAAGATATGTCATTCTATTCAGAGGGTCATTTTCTATCGAATATAAATAAATCGAGGGTGCCATTTAACAATCAAAAGTTGTAGTTATTTCTGGTGAAAAAGTAAGTTACCAAACCAAAAACAATTGAATACGTTAATCAACCCTAATTTATATCATTAACATACCAAATCTCGTTTTTCTATCTAAAAAATAAAAAAGTTATAGGGGGTCGATATATAAGAACATAATATGTAATTTACCTGAAAGAGTGAGTCACCCTGTATATTTTATAAATTATAAGACTTGAATAATCCTACATTATAGTAGCAAAATCGTATGAACACACTTAGAATTAAAACCTAAATAGTTTTGAAGAAAAATATAAAAGTAGCTTAGAAAAGTTGTAAATTGCTAAAAATAGTTTTTACGCTAGCTGAGTGCAAAAAATAACCAAAACTAACTTCAAGTTTATTTTCTTAGAAATAAATTTCCAAGTAAATTTCTTATTTTTAAATCAACTTTAAAATGAATACTTTGCGTTTGAAATATTACATTTTAAACTTCCAAAGCTTAACTTAATTATACAATTTTCCTATCAGCTTGTTGATTAGTCTACTCACGTAAAGTTGGCAACTTTAGGGAACATAGAGAAACTAAAAAATAGAGAGTGTTTGAGAGATGGTCTAAATTGACCATTATATTGCATAGTTCAGTTAGGGCTCCAGAGTGTCGCTACCTGCTACCTGTCACATGTCATGACTTGATTGACAAGTGACGTGTCAGCAATTTGTTTGTTTTTTGTTTGCCATTTTGTGTCACGTTCGCGTTTTTTGTTAGTTATTGTTAAAAAAAATGTAAATAAAATCCTGTAATAGTTTGAGAAGCCGATGATGTAATTTAAACATGATCCAGGAAAGGGTATCAAGCGGAGATGGGCAAACACCCGGTAAGTATATTGAAATTTGGGCAAATACTCGATGTTTTGCACCCAATGGGTAAATTAGTTCAAAAAGGAGCATTGAATTTGGGTAAATACTATATAGGAACTGGTTAGTTGACGAAGAAAAACTCTGTGGCAGAATGTAAATTTTTTTGGCGCCTGTATAGCAATATGTACTGTTAGTTGGCATCGGCCAATGAGATAACTCTATTGCCATGCGTTTGCCATAATCATGTACGTTGTGCTCATAGAGGTTAAAATAAATGTTGTGCTTATATGCTACCTGGTATATACCCAAGTATGTGTGTTTTGTTAATTTAACGTACCTACTATAACAAATTTTAACAACAATTTGTTGTTATCTTACTTATCTTATCCCACAAAGACTGCACAATAGCCCCAAATTGTTTACTAATATTAATAAAACTAAAGTTTTGTATTGAATTTAAATATCTTTGGTTTTATATGTGCTACGGCTAAACTGGATACTTGGCTAGTTTTCAAACTAGTTAGCTATTTTGCAAAAAATATAAAAAAATAGCAAAAAGCGTCGTTATTTTATTGGTTAAGTGTTAGTTTACCCTATCCACTTAGTTTTACACTATCCACTTAGTTTGCAGTGGTGGTTGTGTTGTTTGTTTGCAAAATAGCTGGCTAGTTTGAAAACTAGCCAAGTATCCATTTTAGCCGTAACATATACATAATATATTGTCTGTCTAAATAGAATGACAGTGATAATTTTCTGTCATTTTACTTAAATCAAAAGTACATTATATTTTAGTTTTGACATTTTTGTCATCTGAATAAATTACCCCTTCTCTGGCTACCCAGAATTTACAAACATAACATACAGATATCCTATAATCAAGGACGGATAAAGTCAGTCCAAAACAAACAAGTTTGTATATGAATGAACAAGTCAGCAACTACTTCAACAGATGACATCCATAAAATGACAGTAAATACAATTTATGTATGAATTAAAATGACAGACAGTATTGCCACTGTCAAGTGTCCTCCCGTTTGACGGACTTTACTTAATATACTACAATTTCAACCTACAATTTACATTAAACTTTTAATTAACTTTAATACTTGTTATAACTACGTACATATTTATGGCACTGTTTACTGCATGTAAAATATAGGTCTTTAGTAATAATTATTAATAACCGCAAATATGCAATTAAATTTTGTATTAATGATATTAAATTGATTTAATTAAATACAATTCTTACTAACAAGTAAGGAATTTATATTTTTTGAAAGGTGTTAAAAATTGTTCATTTAAATATCCCGCATTATTGGAAGATTTAAGTGATTATATCGGTAACCAAGGAAACAGAATTTGACAACTAAAAGTGACTGCTCTGGAATCCAATGAAATCTTGGAAGGCGGAGTTTAGTATTGGAAAATAAAAAATACAATCTTCCTTTCAGCAGCATAATTGGAAAAATTGGACACTTGTATAACATGAACAAGTATAAAAAATGTTTTTTTTTGCAAAAGAATCAATAAAGCTCTATGTATTAAAAGTAACATCGGCCGATAGCGCCGTTGAATTCGCGCCTGTCAGTACCTTACCTGTGGTAAATTTGCGGCGATTTGTCTCTGAAGTGAATCTCGTTCCTTTTCCACTTCGGCTAATTTCATTTCTGTATCTCCCAACCTATCCTGAGACTCCCGGAGACTGTCCATTAACTTATCTCTCTCATCTAACATCGAAACCATCAACTGTTCAAAATTTGCTTCTTCGCCAGAGAATTGCGAACTCCTCTGACTAATGCTATCCTCCGAAATAGTCGGCATCACATCACACATCATATTCCACATTTTCTGGGTTTATTTGTTTACTATTTGTCCAAAAATTAAATGAATTATTCCTGAACCACTTAGGTTAACTGTCCCACAGTTTTTTAACTAAACCGCGGCCATAAACACTGAAACCCGGCTTCATATTCACACAACAACGTTGTCAAAAATTGTTTATTTACAAATATAAACATTATATTCAGTTATTTAATACGACACGCCTTTAAATCCCATCCCTCTATCTTCTACTTACATTCACAAGATACATAAACTTACCTAGGCTGACAGCCATATTAAAATCTATGTCAAACAAGCCCATCAAGACGGTAAAACAGGAATCTAACAAGACTTGAGGATATAATCGTATAGCTACTATATAACAGAGGGAGGTATATTAGTATACTATGTACTGTGAGTTGCATAAGCGTTATGGCGTAATAAGTTAAATTTAATTAGAAATTCTTGTCTGTGATCAGCTATGATTAGAAATTTAATGTTTGGGCCTTTCCGTTTTTTATTTTTGAAATATTATGTATTTGTTTCTAACAAATTTTCTACTGCTTAGCCCTAAATATCGATTCTCTATTAATTATATCTACATAAATACACAAGAGCAAAAATATATACTCTATAACAAAGCCTATAATATGTTATAAAATATTATATAAAATAAAATATTAAACCAGAATAATTAAAAATATTTATTAACAAATTATTAAAATGTCAGGGTTTGGTTAAGTAAAAGAGCTTTATTAAAATGTGGACGTATATAGTTTTTTGGATCCGTTCTGAAGCTGGACGCACACAAAATGAGCAAAACAGTTTTAGCCAAAGCCAAAAAATTTTCTGATTAAGAGCGTCGGCACATAATTTTATTTTGCACGATACACGCTGGTCGATTTTCGGCGAAATGTGGCAAAAAGTAATAAAATAAAAAATAGTTTCAAATTACCCTGTCAGAAATGTTTCAAATGTACAGGCAAAACACCAAAAAACAAGTTGGCTATGAAAAAAAGTTGAAAAAGTGTCGTCTTGTTACTTGACAAAAATTTCAAAAGAAACTGTTACTTGGAATACCATTGTGTTAATAAACATTAAATATAATTTGTTAAATTGTTATTACGGTTTTTAGTATCCTGTAATTTTGGAAAAGTGTTTTTTTCCATGAATGATAATTCTGGAGGTATGTATTTAATATTTAAGTAAAAATATGTACTTTTTATTTGGTGTTGGATAAAGAATTATGCAAAGAAACGGAGAATGTACTTTCGCATTTATTTTTCACGATTTTACGTAGTTTTAAATCGATTTTATTACTGTTCTGCTTCCGCTCATTTCCCATTATAAATATATTTTTCCCCCTTATATAATTATCTACCTTAGAGGCTGTAAAAAGTTTTTTTGCGCATATTTGCGCATTTTGTCATAAACTGTAAAACACACTGTACAAGTAAATAATGAGGCCCCTCTTTTATTTTTTAAACCCATGTTGTATATCGAGTTAAAATGTTGCATACACATATAATACCAAAGCGACACAGTATCTTTTGACATATTTTTTTATGTTAAATGTCAAAAAGATAGCTGGACGCCATTTTGAAAAAAAAACTAATTAAAAAAAAGGTAATGGTTTGGTTTGGTTTGGTTTGGTTGTGATCCGGTGGCTGACCTTGAAACGAGTTTTTGCTGTATATAGTCACAGACACTACGCATGCGTACATCTTCGATGTTGCCAGTTTGCAAGTTATTTTGGAAATATTTTCAGTAGAAAACAAATATGTGCTTTTCAGTGTTTTTTGTCAATATATACTGTATGATCCAAAAAACGGCGTCCAGTTGGCTGGGAAATGATGATTGAGGACATTTCCCATATAAAATGACAGCGATCTTCATTTCATAGTCATCGGCGCTGACGCCATTTTTTTTCAATCATAGTACGCCGGTATATTATTTATATTATTATTTTAATATTGGGCAACAACACGTGAACGCTTATTATGTATTTTCATAGCCAATAAAATTAAATAGAAATAAAAGTCTAGATTCCTATAATTAATCTAATTGCTCTAGATTATTATGCTACGTTTAAAAAGGGCTTTATTAAAAATTCGGGTTGCGATGTGTCCAAGTTTTTTATTTTTTTTTTATTTTTAAATGCTGCAGGTCCATGTCATCTTTATAATAGTTTTTTAACATTCCATCAAAACTACGGAGGCCTAAAAAGCCTTTTAGCCTCCGTAATTAAAATTGTAGAATCAGCTTCAACAACATTAACAGTTACCTTGTTTAATTCTGCTTATACATATATTGCATTTTTCTGCTACCTTAAGATTTCTCTATTCTTACACTTAATTTATGTGATTTTCTTAGCATATATGATTTATAAACCATATTTTTCCTAATGGAACGATGGAATAGGATATGCAAAATTAAGATATTTTAACATTTATTTTCCAGACAAAGCGTAATATAGTATTAAGATTAAGACATAACAAATATAAGAAAGATCTTAATATAAATCACAAACTAACTAAGTCTTAATTTGGTCTTGTATAAACACAGGTATAAAACTAATAAGATCAAAACTCAACCTTCACCATATTGTCAAGATTTGGCATTATAGGAAACAAGAAATTACAGTAGATTAAGAAAAGAATATCAAAGTACACGATATTAAATACTGTAATGTATTCTACGACACAAACCATCTTCCTTCTAAAAAGAAAAAGATAAAACATAAAGCTTATTTTAGTCTTATCACCACACTCTTCGATAAAATATATGTCTAAAATTGCTATTAATCCACTAACTTCATATTTTTATGAAATTTTGATACAAACATTATAATCAAAGTATATTATATTAGTAACATTATAGGTAAAATCACAGTAAAATGTTACATCTATCTCCCATTGACGTGTATTGTTTTATAAGACTCGTCATGGTAGTACTTCAATACATCAATACATATAATCAAAACTATTGTTGCCTGTAAATAACTAGAAATTAAATAACTTGAAAGAAATAAAATAATTCTAATAAGTTTAAAACCATTAAGAAAATATCCGTAAATGATAATTTTTAATTCTAATGTAAATATATAAATCTTTATAAATAAATGTAAATTTTTAATTCTAATGTAAATATATAAGTAAATGTGATTATTATTACAATTTTATATATCATTCCTTAATTTTGGATATCAAGATAAATCTGAAATTATAAAATTAATTATAGAATTTGTATTATTATTGAATAACACTCCAAAAAATTTTTCAACTGCAAATAATTCGAAAATAAACTGCAATTTGGCAACATCGACGATGTGCGCTTGCGTAGCATCGATGATCAAATGCAGCAAATATGAGCTTCAAGGTCAGCCACCGGAATTTTCAAGCCTGTGTAACCAAAATGAATATAAGTGAAAATATTTTTTCAATAAAATCCTTTGAACCATTAAACTTTTATGTTGAACACTTTTTTCCCAAACGTCAAATTAAGAAGTTATTAATTGGGAGGGGGTCCATTTAACTGTGACAACCTGGGCATGCTAAAATTTGTTCACCAAATTGATTAAAAAACACTAGAAACATATTTCTAACGATCAGGTTATTTTCTTGTTGCAAAATATTTTTTGCCACGTTTCGACAAAAATCGACCAGTGTGCGACAGTTTGACGTCCAGTGGCGAAAATTTGATAATAGCCGAGGCTCTTGCGAATAAAAATTGACTGTCTATCGACACAAAGTTGCACGAATGAGTTTTGGTTGCTTTGGTTAGTCTTTTTTGTCTTTTTTTGTGGTGAATCTTTTGTTTTTTTTTAAATAAAATCGTATTTAGATGTCTTTTTTCTTAGACAAGGAAAGAGCGGGGACGGCTAACACGCATATTCTCCCGTGATCGGTTAGTGAGGCTAAAATTCGATCGGCGGCCATACTTTGGTGACAAGATTTAGAGGTGACACCGAGCGAATTTTTAAGTTTTTTGTGACAACTGTTTTGTTTTAAATTTATAAACTGTATTGTTTAGTATGGTGAGATGTTCAGCGTATGGCTGCAAAGGCCGAAGCGAGAAAAAAGTGGTTGGAATTACATTTCACAGGTAAAAATCGATACACAACTTTTGTTATGTGGTCATAAAATGTACATTTTTTCATTATAGCAGTAAAAATATGTAAAATGCTTTTAATATGTTTTGTACCACACCCAAACCAAACTATTTTTAATAATTCCAAGTAGTATTTTCAATATCCTATATTATAATTAATGTTTGAAACTATAAATAATGCTACTCAGCATGGATTTCTCCAGTGGCGTAGGGAATTATAATCAGAGAAATAAACATTTTTTTATATATTTTACATGTAAAAAAATGTATAAAGTATTGTTATGAAATATGTAAAATAATTGTAAACTATAAAAAAAATTAAAAATTCTAGTAATAAAAAATCTATATGTATAGCTGTTATATAAAACTTAAATTTAACTGCCAAGATTTGCTGGGGGTGGACAAACTTGTGGTGGGCTACTTGTTACTACATATATTTTTTTAAATAGTCTTTCAAAAAATTTGCTAATTTAGGTGTATAATAATAGTCTCAGTGAGTAATTAATAAAAATTAAAAAATAAATAAAATAACACAAAGCTTCTAGAATTGTTTATTTTTTTGTGGAAAATTAGGATATTCTTATGATTGAAGGTAACAAATATTAAAAATTACATTATTCATTGAATCCGTACGCAAGTGTGAAGGGGAATGGCTAGATTCATTATCATACGAAAAATTGTCGATAAAAAACGACATCCAGTTGGCTAAATGACGATCGACGACATTCCCCATATAATTTTACATATAAAATGACAGCGATCTTCATTTCATAGCTAATCGCTGACGCCGTCTTTTTTCGATGTCGTTTTGTATAGTTTTTATGTCATTTTATATGTAGAATTATATGGGGAATATCATCGATCGTAATTTACAAGCCAACTGGACGTGTTTTTTTTTCTATTATACGGTATAATAATGAATCTAGTCAATTCCCTTCACACTTGCTTACGGATTCAATGAATAATGTAATTTTTAATATTCATTTGTGAAATTTTCATTTTCAAACAAACAAGACGCCGTTTTTTTCGATCATACAGTATATATGTATATACAGGGTCCGGCAATAGTGCGTCGGGCATCTATAGCTCCTAGAATAAATAACTTGAGAATTTTGTATAACTTCAAAAGTATGTACACCTAAAGTATGTACCAAGATGTATTTCAGGAA